GCTGGCCTTGCAGCTCCACTGCCGAGCCCCATGAGGGGCCCGGCGGTGGACCTGCAAGGCCGGCGGGAGTGCAAGGAAGCCCCGCGAAGGCCCTCCCTGGCCCCAGGCAGGGGTGGGGAGAGGTAGGGAGGAAGCAGCTTACCCTCCCTCTTCTCCTGCCTCCTCCTGGCTGAATGAGGGCCGGAAGCGGGGCGGCCGGAAGCAGGGGGCGGGGCTTTGTCATGTGCCCCGCCCCCTGCACCTCACCCGGGGGAACTGCGATCTCCTGCGATCCCCCCGAAATGACCTCTGCACAAAACTACCCACATACCATCATAAAGTGCTAAAAGGACAGTGCAGATGATGGGTGCATTCAGTATAGGATCCCATTGTGGAAAGCAGTATTCTTCAGGCTCCACCCCCTAAATCTCCAGGTATTTCCCAACTTGAAGCTGGCAACCCTGCCCGATGCACTTTGGCAACCCAGTGCGTTGGTGAGGGTCAGCCCAGAGAGAGCTACGCACACCATGCACAATAACTACCCCCATTAGATGAGCCTGTGTTTTTTGTTGCTTTGCAGTCAGCCACATCTCCCTAGATGGTGTTCTCAAAGACCAGGATGTGGGCATTCCTCTCCAGACATAGCTTGCCTCTCCTGATGGTTGTGATGCCAACCTCCAGGTGGGACCTAGGGATCCCCTGGAATTACAGCTCATTTCCAGATGCCAGAGGTCAGTTCCACTAGACAACATGGATGCTTTGGAGGGTGGACTGCGTGGCATTGTGTACCACACTGAGGTCCCTGTCGTCCTCAGGCTCCACCCCAAACCTCCAGGAGTTCCCCAACCTGCATCTGGCAACCCTAACCCCCCATCCCCCGCTGGTGACCAGGGAGGAGGATCTGGCAACCCTACCTGATGGACATTTCACTTATTAAATATATTGTTTTCTATTTGTTTGATTTTCATCCCAGCCTTCCCCAAATGCTCACAGTGGCGTACACGGTTCTCCACAACAATTCTGCATGGCAGCTTAAGTTGACAGAGAGTGACTGGACCAAGCTCACCCAGAAAATTCATGGCTGAGTTGGGATTTGAACTCAGGTCTCTCTAGTTGGTTAAAAATGAAGAGGAGGAGGAAGGAGAGTGAGGAGGAAGGAGAGTGGCATCATCTAACAAACAAGGCCCAGCTCCCTATCCAACAAAGCACTTTTGTTCAGTCACACAGTCGAGTCCGACTCTTGAATCGCAACTCG